AAATTTTAAATAAATTAACTAATTAAAATAACAACACACTCAACTATTATGTTTGCATGTATAACAATAAAGTTTGCAATCATTATACAATATAATAAGTTATTCAAACTTCAAATTATAAAGATTACACTGTATATTATATAAATAGCATACAATTAATTGATCACAACTACATTACCGGTAATTACAGTGTATTTATATTTTTCAATATTTTGCCTATTGATGAAAATCATATATTTTGTTGAACCAAAGATGTTGTAATAAATGCTTTGTAAATACAGTACATTCTAGAAATTCATTTGATAGGTTTTATAATAATTGGGTTTTGATTCAACAAATATTATAAATACACAGTCAATTATGGAGTGAACAGCCAGTACAAATATGGCGTGTATGGGTGAAGAGATCAGTAAATTTAAGGAATGAGTCTAGGTTATATTAACGCATTTAGAACTGGGACTCACTGCAGAGAATGACACTAGAATTGAAGCAAGCGTACTTTCGTGACCAAATCAATCGGGAGGTCAAATATATTTTAAAAGAGTGGTCTGAACATAAAGTCCAATCACATAGAATGTCCCAGATCAGGTTTGGTGAGTATACCTGTGCCGCAGTCACCTAAAGTATAAAAGCTGTGTTTGAAAAGAGTGACACAAGTTTTGCCGCACAACGGAAAATAGTCTAAATCATCTGGTCACATTTCAATTCAATTGTATGGGGAGGGCATAATAATATTCAATTGAGTTGATTTAAATACAAAAATATTTTAACGGGGTCATTTGGCCATTGCATCATCAATGGAACGGGACTTTGTGGGCAACGTACAGGGTAACTTTATATGTACTGTATAACTTAGTACAGTAGTGCACACGTATACTGTATGTCAAACTCTATAAATTATATTTGATGACATTTCTAGTTCCCTTCCACTCAATAAAATAAGGTCTTTAAGCCCTAACTTTTCGCTCAGATATCAGACCATTGAGTGACTTCTGGTGCCGCTTCTGGAGCTCATTGGACTGTGAATTGAGTTTATTATTAAGTAAATTATGGTTAGTGTTTGCGAACAGTGTATCAGATAGGGAGTCGTCGTCGGCTGACAGGTAGGCGTTCCTTGAGTTCAGTTCTTTGAAGTTATTGTTGGCCAACAGCTCTATCCGGTCGGCGCCCGTAAAGTGGTCGTCACCGTCCTCCAGAAGGGTATACCGGTTCCGATTGGACTTTCGATAGCGCCTGGACTTTGTGGGCACCGGACGTTTGCCTTTAAATCGTGATACACAGCAAACACATGACCAGAATAACGCCATCACTGCCACTACCGATGTGAACGATATTACGATTACGTATAAAATGCTCCAATCTATGACACAATATATATATAATTTGTTCAGTTAGTTTGCTCTATGTACAGTACATTACATCAAGTTATTCTGAATAATTTATTTATATAATTTATCTGCCTGTACCATTATAGGTAATTTAGCTTAGTAAAATTAATATGAGCTATAAAATTATATTAAATATAGTGATATAGTTTTGTATTAAAAATATGAATAATAAGTGCTTAATAATGACCGCAATTGCTCTCCCGATCCCCCAAATGGTAGCGAAAGAGGTCTTCCATCCAAAAGGCTTCACATAAACACCGTTTGCTGTACTGATCGCACGAACCGTGATTTGAGCACTCGTTCTGACAAACTGTATGTTATTTGTTCACAATTAGTATATATATTACGGCATATAAAGTATAAAACCAAATAAAGTCAAAGCCATACCCATTGTCTCCAATGAAATGACTTCCGGTGTTATAAGACTAGAATCGGTTTTGAGTTTTTGTTTCAATTGCTTCACTACTGTTAGGCCCGGAAGGCATTTATTTGTGTTGCCGTTGATGACCGTAAATATTAGAATTACTCTATAATACAATCAAACAAATACAAAATAGTTAACAAACATTGCCCTTTTAACAATTCATCGTGACACTATTTTTATTACAAACAAATTAATCTACAACTATATAATCCCAATATCTTCATGAAATAGCATACCGGCGCGAATGAGTGGTGGTATCCAATTTAATTAATTGCACTTTAATAGGCTGCCCATCGGTGCCACTCAACAGTAACTCCAAGCGCTTCAAAACCATAGACATCTGATCGCTAGTAAATGCCTTGATATCCGTATTGAGTATTAACTCGATCTCATCCATCACTCCGGGCGAGGGTTTCACGATTAGAGACAATCTTTAAAACTGTTATTACAGTCATTTTCATTTACTGTTTTGCTCCACACATTATTCACTGTAAATATAACCATGGCCATTAATACTGGATTAGTATCCAAAATGAATTGTCCGGCCAGTGATTATAAGCCACTGAAAGTAATTAGTCATGTCACACCAAAGGGTGAGTATCCAATGGTTTATGTAAATAACTACACTATACGGTACACTACTGTATATATTATAACAGGGTTTCACATTTCTCAAGACTACTTAATTAGATTTTTAATTAATTTTTGTGCCAAAATTAGTTCATCATAACTTCTGTTTTCTGTTAATTATGCAAGTTAATTTTATTTCTAAATTTTCTAATTATAACTAATAACTATAGATAATTTTATAAATATAATATATTTGCAGAATTTTTTCATTACTGTATTACTGTATTAAAATTACGGTAATTGAAAACACCTAGAATATTGTCATAATAAAACGGTGATATTATTATTGGATAAAACTATAGAAATAAATTGTTAAGAGAAATGCAGACTGCATTATGCAGTTAATGTCACAAATATGAGTGCATTTTGTTTAACAAACAAGCGTTTTATGAGTGGACTCACGAATATGTGCTCAAAATAAGTGCCAAATATTAATGACCACAAACTTCTCGTTTCCTTTCACTTCTCAATCCACAAATAAGTCGTGAATAAATGCAAAATACATTTCCTGTGTTTTTCAGTTATATGTGTTTCAGATGTCAAGAAAAACACAAAAAAACATTTCAAATATTTTGAGCTATTTTTAAGTGTCATTTGTCGGCATAACTTACTATTAATACACAGCAATAAAGTCTCAAATCTTAATCTTTTTACAAAAACTTTTTCACCACTCACAATTTATACTCTATGAACAAATAAAACCATAATTTCAATTATCATTAATAACTTAATAAATAAACATTATGCTAAATCTTATTAAAGTCAATATTAAGCTATTTCAGAAAATATTTTTCTCGTTAAACTTTGCTTACTTTCTTAGTATACCAGGGCAAATTTTAGTATTATAGTATTGATTAACTTACAAAAAATTAATTATAACAGTAGTGGGCTGATTATACTGTATGATTTAATTATATTTTCTTAATTGTTGATGATTTCATTTAATATTTACTAAATCAATTGATATGACTACTCAATTAGCAAAATATTGTAACAGAACAATCAATTGAAATGAGATTATTACAGTATATCATACAACATACTGGGAATAAGCGATAATGTTTATATAATAGATGTTATAATGAATTTAGTTTGATTTATTTCATAAGTCTAATTCATGATAAGCCCTCTGCATGTGCACTAACTGTCATACACTAATACTGTGTCAATGGACAGGTATCTCGAGTGTGGGCCAGTACACGAAGATGTCGGGCCACCGAACACTGTTGTCGTGCGCTCAGTCCTGTTGTCTCCGGAGTTCATGTCATGTCGTCTTCTTTCACAACGACTCCTGTTTTCACATCACTTGCCGTTCAATGAAATTATGCGAACCCGTGAAGAGGACGGGCAGTAAATACAGCAAATCGTCGATGATTTTGGTGAGGAATGCCGATCTCAGCGCCACCGGTGACGCCGACACTCTATTTCTCACCGATTATAACGACAAGTAATGCGATATATATTACAATACAATGGTCTTATAGTTGAGCACTAATTTATACCAACTTTCCAATCCATAGTCCTCCCGGTGCTGACGAGGAGTACACCGAATCCAAACAGAGACGGGAGGAATCGCTCGACTCCATAGTCAACGACTATATGTCTGATGGGGGCGCCGGGGCTTTAGATGCCGAACGCCCTGTCCTTTCGTACGATTCGGGCGACAGAATCTGTACGTTAGGACAGAGCGAGTGCTCCGCCAACGAGGTGTGCCGTAAGTCCAGTAACCGGCGCCGACAGGGCGTATGCGTGTGCAGTCAGGGCTGGCACAGGGATGAGCGCCAGATATGTGAGCCGATAAAGTCAGTGGTGGTGTCGGGTGTTGGGCACAGAAATGCAGACCCGATTCTCGATAAATATGCGGCCGAAGAGGACAGTAAGGAGACGACGAGTGAACAACAGCCCACCGGTTCCATCGACACCGACATCCCTATTGGCCCCAAAGGTAGCGATAATTCCTCGAGTGGGTCGACACGTCTGGTAGTATCTGCCGGTCGTAATCAAGTCATACAACTGCCCAAAGATGAGGTCACATTATCGGCGTTCGTATTACCCGCCTCCCAGTCCTACAAATATGAGTGGCAACTGATATCCCGGCCCTCCCAGAGCGAGGATATTGGCAATATGGAGGGGGCAAACACTGACCAAATCAAACTTTCCCGACTGGCGGCCGGCAACTACACGTTCCGGGTGTCGGTGACCAGCGACGGTCTGGTGGGCGCGTCCACTGTCAACGTAACGGTGCTGCCACCCAAACGACTCAATAAGCCTCCCGTAGCGGTCATCAAACCGGCCAACTCTACCGTTCAGTTGCCTAATAAGGATACAGTACTCGACGCCTCCTTTTCGACCGATGATAACAATAATAAGATTGTTAAGTATGAGTGGTATGTATTGGACTCACATCTCGTGAGCAAACAAATCACGTGTTTCTAATCACTCATAGGCAGGCACTGGTAGTTCCCATTGGATACACAAACACCAAGTTTCCGTCTAACCCCACACTACAACTCAAAGACCTCTTACCCGGATTATATCAATTGAATCTGACGGTCACAGACTCGGATGGCGCCACCAACTCTACAATAGCCAATGTAACCGTCCTTAAAGAGATCGACTACCCGCCCACTGCCAATGCTGGCCAGGATCAAATCATATTTTTGCCACAAAATGACATCACACTTATGGGCAATCAGTCGACCGATGATAAGGTGAGTACATGTGTTTGCAATTGACTATAATATGGTTTAGAGGTTTAATCACTATATTTGCAAATGAGCACCATTACCCTATTACCAAGATTGAACATGCATAATTTTAAACCTAATTTGCATCGACAGGGTATAGCCTTATGGCAGTGGACCAGAGCGCCTGACGATCAAAGCAGTGGTAAACAGATAGCGGTCGATATGGATGGCACGTCCACCCCATTCCTACACCTATCCAAACTGGAAGTGGGTGTCTATAAGTTCGTACTGAAGGTGACCGATACGGCCAACCAGTCATCCCAGGCAGAGGTCCACGTGTTTGTGAAGCCCGAGAATAATAGGCCGCCGCTGGCCGTCACGCCCGCAGACATGAAGGTTGTGCTGCCATTGGATAAGAGTGTCATTTTGGACGGAAGTAAGTCCAGCGATGACACCGGTGTCACCAAATGGTTGTGGGAACAGATCGATGGTATATATGATGAGCATTTAAATGAAATGATTTCTACAGTATAACACTTACCATCCTATGGATTACTTTAGGTCCAAAACAGTTGCAAATAGTGAAGGCAAACGAGTCCGTCGCTAATGTGACGAACAAACTCTTTCCCGGAGAGTACGGCTTTCGGCTCACCGTTTGGGACGCAAAGGGCGCCAACTCTTCGGCCGCTTTCAAGTTGACTGTCATTCAGGAGAAAAACTCGCCCCCAGTTGCCAATGGGGGAGGCGATAGGACTGTCACATTGCCAGTCAGCCAGGTCTGCATTTTCATTATTTTCTCTATAATATAATGAATATCAGATTTAGTATTGATTTAATTTAATTGATTAATTGAACCTGCGAGTGCACAAAACCGATACAATATGTAAATTTACTTTTTAATGAGAGATAATCTTTATTATACTTTACGGTACAAGTTTTAATTAAATATTATTTAAAAGAAATTGAATATTCTATTGTTACTAGATGTTTTCAAATCTTATGAGATATGTGAATGTAATAAAAGTACAGTACTGTTTGAAATGTTAGTTATAACCGATTGTTCAATTGGTAAACTCAATAGTACTTGTAAATGACATTTATTTTATTGAATTCTCATACATCTGTTAATCAAATACTTGAACCCAAACGTATAGGTCGTGTTAAACGGAAGCCAATCGTACGACGACGTGGAGATCGTGTCGTACGAGTGGTGTCGGACCCAAGACTCGTTGGCCTTCGGGGATATACTGGACAACTCGTCCTACAGTCCAGTCCTGCGGCTCACGAACCTAATAGCGGGCCGGTATCTGTTTAAACTAACTGTTGCTGACAATCAAGGGGCTCAGGCTTCTGAAGTGGTGTCTCTAATCGTGAAACCCTCGCCCGGAGTGATGGATGAGATCGAGTTAATACTCAATACGGATATCAAGGCATTTACTAGCGATCAGATGTCTATGGTTTTGAAGCGCTTGGAGTTACTGTTGAGCGACACCGATGGGCAGCCTATTAAAGTGCAATTAATTAAATTGGATACCACCACTCATTCGCGCCGGTATGCTATTTCATGAAAATATTGGGATTATATAGTTGTAGATTAATTTGTTTGTAATAAAAATAATGCCACGATGAATTGTTAAAAGGGCAATGTTTGTTAACTATTTTGTATTTGTTTGAATGTATTATAGAGTAATTCTCGTATTTACGGTCATCAACGGCAAAACAAATAAATGCCTTCCGGGCCTAACAGTTGTGAAGCAATTGAAACAAAAACTCAAAACCGATTCTAGTCTTATAACACCGGAAGTCATTTCATTGGAGACTATGGGTATGGCTTTGACTTTGTTTGGTTTGATTTTATACTTTATATGCCGTAATATATATATAATATATATTATACTAATTGTTAACAAATAACATACAGTTTGTCAGAACGAGTGCTCAAATCATGGTTCGTGCGATCAGTACAGCAAACGGTGTTTATGTGAAGCCTTTTGGATGGAAGACCTCTTTCGCTACCATTTGGGGGATCGGGAGAGCAATTGCGGTCATTATTAAACACTTATTATTCATATTTTTAATACAAAACTATCTCACTATATTTAATATAATTTTATCGCTCATATTAATTTTACTAAGCTAAATTACCAGCAGATAAATTATATGAATAAATTATTGAGAATAACTTTTGATAAAACAAATCGATGTAATGTACTGTACATAGAGCAAACTAACTGAACAAATTTATTTATATATACCGTATATTGGGTCATAGATTGGAGCATTTTATACGTAATCGTAATATCGTTCACATCGGTAGTGGCAGTGATGGCGTTATTCTGGTCATGTGTTTGCTGTTTATCACGACTTAAGGGCAAACGTCCGGTGCCCACAAAGTCCAGGCGCTATCGAAAGTCCAATCGGAACCGGTATACCCTTCTGGAGGACGGTGACGACCACTTTAAGGGCGCCGACCGGATAGAGCTGTTGGCCAACAATAACTTCAAAGAACTGAACTCTAGGAACGCCTACCTGTCAGCCGACGACGACTCCCTATCTGACACACTGTTCGCAAACACTAACCATAATTTACTTAATAATAAACTCAATTCACAGTCCAATGAGCTCCAGAAGCGGCACCAGAAGTCACTCAATGGTCTGATATCTGAGCGAAAAGTTAGGGCTTAAAGACCTTATTTTATTGCGTGGAAGGGAACCAGAAATGTCATCAAATATAATCTATAGAGTTTGACATATAGTGTATGTGTACACTACTGTACTAAGTTATACAGTACATATAAAGTTACCCTGTACGTTGCCCACAAAGTCCCGTTCCATGGATGATGCAATGGCCAAATGACCCGGTTTAAATATTTTTGTATTTAAATCAACTCAATTGAATATTATTATGCCCTCCCGATACAATTGAATTGAAATGTGACCAGATGATTTAGACTATTTTCCGTTGTGCGGCAAAACTTATGTCACTCTTTTCAAACACAGCTTTTATACTTTTGGTGACTGCGGCACAGGTATACTCACCAAACCTGATCTGGGACATTCTATATGATTGGACTTTATGTTCAGACAACTCTTTTAAAATATATTTGACCTCCCGATTGATTTTGTCACGAAGTATGCTTGCTTCAATTCTAGTGTCATTCTCTGCATGTGAGTCCCAGTTCTAAATGCGTTAATATAACCTAGACTCATTCCTTAAATTTACTGATCTCTTCACCCATACACGCCATATTTGTACTGGCTGTTCACTCCATAATTGACTGTGTATTTATGATATTTGTTGAATCAAAACCCAATTATTATAAAACCAACAAATGAATTTCTAGAATGTACTGTATTTACAAAACATTTATTACAACATCTTTGATTCAAAAAATATATGATTTTCATCAATAGGCAAAATATTGAAAAATATAAATACACTGTAATTACCGGTAATGTAGTTGTGATCAATTAATTGTATGCTATTTATATAATATACAGTGTAATCTTTATAATTTGAAGTTTGAATAACTTATTATATTGTATAATGATTGCAAACTTTATTGTTATACATGCAAACATAATAGTTGAGTGTGTTGTTATTTTAATTAGTTAATTTATTTAAAATTTTAAGTTATTAAATGTTTATTGAATTTTATATTTATAGCTTATAATCATCATGTCACTTATAAGAATTTTAGTGCATATACTTGTATTCAGTACTTGTATATCATAATGTGTATCATGTTAAAAGTTAAGTTTAACATTATAATTTTTTCAAACATTTAAAACTACTAATAAACTATATTTTATAATATTTAAAGTGTGTTTAGATAGGGTTTGTAGTTTTATAGAATACAATGAAAAATATTATGTCATATTCTTTATTTTAAAATTATAAATATAATTAATGTATCCATAATAGTTATATGATATATAACTATTATAACATCTGCAACACATTAAGCAGTAATCTTATTTATTTTATTTATTACAGAATTATATTGAGTATCTTTATTATTATTTATTTATTTATAACAATTTTAACAACTTTAACAATTTTACCATTCCATTTAGTATTTTACTGATAATTTTAAAAATAAAATAAATGACCCTCATTAATACAAGTGAGTAATTTGAACGATGCAAATAAATTCCTTTACTATAAAATCTTAACATAATTCTATAATAATTTGTAATGAAAATAATTTGTCAAAAGTTTTCTATTTATTATTACTTAATTTCCAAAGTGGCAGTTTATATTATTTTATTTTATATTACAAACACTTAATATTATTTAACTACTGTGATATTTGTATTGTTTTGATTAAACATTTTTAATTAATTTAAGTTCAACATCACATTAATATTACACGATTAAATTAAAAACAACTTAAAAACTAAATAATCTATTAATTTTTAATAACATGTTCATATAAATTTAAGATTTTGGACACAACTTATCTATTGCTTTAAGCATTAGTAGCTGGATGGATTTATGAGGTACCCTATCTGGTTTGTCGAATCCATAGAAATCGCATTGGGTCATCCTTTTGAGTTTGTCACCCTCCTCCATTATCTTTGTAATCTTCACAAATCCTTTTTCGATGTAATCCTTCACTTCATCTTTGAGATTATCGTCTTCGGGATAGATTCCGATTGTTTTAGAAGTCCATAGGTTTAGGACACTATTAGCATATATAATAACATTAATTGAATTGAATTTATTAATATTTAAAGACCCTGTTCACTCAACCGCAGCTGATTAAACATGATCTATTAATTTTGTAATACATAAAGTACACACCAGGCTACCTTATTCAACTTAATTTTACTTCCATTTCTAACAGTTTCGGCAAGTACATCCATTAAGTTATCCCGGTGCATTTTTACATCTCTACTAGCCATATTGGCTGCGATACCCTTTTTCGTGAGTCTAACGCCTTTAATTCTGGGATTACAGACCCGGGATATATAGAGGGCCCCCTCCTCTGCCAATACTTTGCCCACTTTCTGGGCCAACGCACAGTTAGGGAACAACTTATTGAACTGTTCGGCTAAGAATAGGACGGTTAGCTTGCTTTGTCTGATTTAAAATTTTTAAAAACTTTCAAATTTAGTCAAATATTGTTTATTACTAAAAGCAAATTATAACATAATCATACTAGCATAAATTAAATAAATGGATCTATTATACTTACTCTTTGCAAAACTTAGCCATATCTCCGCTCTCCTCCGGGTAGTAATTCTTTGGTAAACTGAAATTCATTTGGTTTGTTAATAATTCATCCAGTTCATCGATTTTCAAGATTTTTATGGGCGCTCCTTATAAACAAACATATTCAATTAAGTAATCATTCATATGTTAAATTAAATTTATAATTTGGTACAGTAAATTTATAAATACTTTAATAAAAGTTTATATATATTAAGGTTACAATTTACCAGAGCTGATTGTAGTGGCTGCCCATTGTTTGGTAGTGGGCGCACTTGTTGTAGTTGTAGTGGTATCCGCATGTGTTGTACTAATTGTCATAGTTGCTTTCTTACTTGTAGTTGTAGAACTGCCACTCGTAGTAGTGATGGTTTTGGGGGTAGGGGTGTAGGCCGCATGAGTTGTAGTCCCATGAGTTGTGCCGTCTACCTGTATTGTTATCGTAGTCATAGTAGTAGTGGGTGTATGTGTTGGGGTAACTGAGGTTGTTGAGTGTGTAGTAATAGATTCAGATCCATAGGCTGTCACACTGGTGCCGTGAGCCGGCGCTCCTGTATTTGGTGTGTATGCGCTGGTCATCGTACCGGTTGACTTGTGGGCCGGTGTTGTAGTCATAGAGCTGTAGTCTGTATATATGGAAGTGGTGGTGCCTGTGGAGTGTTTACTTGTTATTGTTCCAGTGGTACCTGTGTTCCCAGAATATTCTGAAGCAGTAGTACTAACTGCATGTGCAGTGGTCATTGAATCAGATCCTGGTGTCCCTGTAGTTCTAGTGCTGCTAACATGATGTCCGGATGCAGTACTACTAACAGTCGATATACTCGTTGCTTCCGGTGCTCCTGTATTGGTCAGGGGTGCAGTTGTCACCGTATTAGTCGAGGTTCTATTAATTGTCGTGTGTGTCGGTGTTGTTGTTGAGGCAGAACTGCTTGATTGTCAAGTACTAGTAGTAGTGGTTGTGGTGTCTGTGGAGTGTGTGGTACCGGTGCTAAAATGTCCAGTTGTACTTCCGATTTTGTGAGCAATTGTCATTGTGCTTGTTCTCGGTACCCCAGTAGTACTCGTGGCATGACTACTAGTACTTGTCCCTGTTACTTTATCATTAGCTCTAGTAGTACCTGACTTTTGTGATGTTGTAATGGTTGCAGTTACAGTGGTGACTGAACTAGTTCCCTGTGCTAGCAAAGCTGTCGATGTAGCTACATGTGCTTTAGTCACCGTATTATCTGACTTTTTAGTAGTAATACGTTCATGTGTAGTAGGTGTAGTGGTAACTGTGCTAGTTCCTGGGACTAATGGTGTTGTCGAGTTAACTACATGTGCTGTAGTCGCCGTAATATCTGACTTTTTAGTCGTACTAACTGCGGGTGTCGTAGTAGCAGAGCTACTGCCCAGTGCACTAGTAGTAGTACTGGATGATTTTGAAGTTATTGTTGAGCTGGTGGTTGTACTAGTTTTACCTGATCCATGTGTTGTTCTTCTACTGCCAGACTGTGTGGTAGTTATTGTATAGGTGGGTGTGGATGCAACTGTGCTTGCTCCACGTTCTATGTATCCAGCAGTAGTTGTAGTAGATGCTGATGATGAATTATTGCCACCATGGTGTCCTGTACTGGATGCACTGGTAGATGGTGCACAGGTAATGGTAGTGCTACTGCCTACCTGAGTAGTGGAACTTGTGCTTGCTGCTTTTGAACTGGAACCATTGGTGGTTGTGGGGGACACAGATGTAGTACTAATACCTACCTGGGCTGTAGCCATTAAGTTGGCAGCCCGTGTGGTAACAATTAAACCTAAGGCGGATGTTGATTTACTGACACCCCTACCCTGACCACTTTTTAAGTGAACGTCAGTCACATTGTTTGTACTGCTAGTCATATTAAAGCCGGTATGGGATACCTCATGTTTACCATGTCCAGTTTTATTTGATTGACTTGTGATATTAGATAGTGAACCTGTCAAAAAATAACTATTTTTACTTGAAGTTCTATCTGTTATACTCTGTATTAGAGTGAGCCCTAGAATTTAAATTAGTTGAGGAAAATCTGGTAGAATTAAAGTAGCCTATTGTATTTGAATTTATATCATAGTTATATTAGAGTGACCAACTGAATTGGATAGGGTTATAATTGTAATGACTTGGGAATGTGCTTTGCTGTACAATTATTAAAGGATTCATTAATCTTATTATAAATAGAAAGACCTTTAGTTACGTTAGAGTTGTGTCCACTCGTGTTTGCAGGTTGTGTTGCGTTATGTGCTCATACATGACTAGAGTTAGTGGATTGGGATGTATCCGATATAACTGTTGCATTGTGAGGAATGGTAGCATTGGATGCATGTGCCGTGCTATTAGCACTACCGGCGCTGGTATGGTTCGAGTGTCCAGTCGTGTGATTGGTTACTGTATTTATATAAAATGAAGTTTAAATTATAAGCTTTATATAAATAAAATCAACAACAGACAACTTGACGTAAGCACCTACCTCTGTTATTACGGTGTGTTTTGGTTAGTGTAGTGTTGTTTTGTTGGATTGACGGTCCTATTGAGTCGGATCCGTGGTGGGCGTGAGGGGCACCGGTAGTTGTTGTAGTTTTCGTTGTCGTATCGCTACAAGTTCTGGCATTGCATACGATTGTTAAATCTAAATGATTTGTCAAAACATTTTACATATTTTTAGTAAAAACTAGATTTATAATATATTATTAAAGTTAGATAAAACGTTACATGCTACAGTCATTTTACAATTTGATCATAAGTGTAATTTTTATTAAATTGAGATATTATAATGTCGAAGATATTGCATAAGAATATTTAATAGTTATATATTATTGAGGATATCTTAAATTATTAGCATACATTGTAAAAATGATATATAATAATTAACATTGGTAATATTTGATTTTTTAATATATCATATTTGATATTTGATATATATTTGATACATATATATACATATATACATATATACATATATACATATATACATATATACATATATACATATATACATATATACATATATACATATATACATATATACATATATACATATATATGACATATATGATATATATTTGATACATATTTGATATATATCATATTTGATATTTATAAAATGTGATTAGTAGAATATGAAAGTTTTAGACGTTAACTCACGTATTAATAATAATAATGTAGCTAGATAATTTAGTAACATTTAAAAATAGGTAATTATCTAATGTCCTTATTGTTTAATATAATATATTAGACTTCAATTAAATTAAACAAACTCATTAAATAAATGCAATTTTAATTAACCAATAAACAACCGTTTTTAATATAATTAATCGTTTGCCCATACTTTCCTTTTCATTAAAAGTTGTATGAAAAATTATTTGACACATATTTTCATTAATTTGATCATCAAATACAATATTTATGTTAAAAATTCATATTCTGTGTGAAGTGAAAAGGTATACCACTGTTATAAGATAGAGACTACTTTGCTGAGTTACACAATGAAATGTTATATATATTTATATATACATTTATATATTATTCAGTATGTTTAATTGATTTGTGTCCTCAATAAGTTTAAAATAAAAATAAAACTACTTTTAAAATAATGACCAGATGACTTTAATTTTATTGAATCATCAGAAAATGTAATAATAAATCTAAATTTCAATGAATGATAAAACTAGAGAAAATATACTAAGTATAGCAATATATTTATACAAAATTATACAATTGGATAGTAATTACAATTATAGTCATTTTAAAACACATTTTTGATGAGATGACTGGATTAGTAGAAATAAAACAAACTCTCAACTGGTAAATAAATAAAAGCAATTAACTAGCTAAGATTAACGTCAAATATCTAAACTCTTCATCGGTTAAACAGAGGTTCTTTTGCCAGTGGCACCGGTAGTGTCCTTAATATATTTGGCCAGAATCTCGTCGTTGTTAACACCGTTCACATAATAGCCGCCGCTATCCCTGCGATTGTTGGGATGTCCGACCGGGTATTTCACGGAGAATACATTGACGTCGAGGGCCAGTTTCAGATCCCACGAGGCGTACGTGAAATAGCGGCTCACGTCCATCAGGGAGTACACGAAAGCGCACAATAGGGCAGTCTTCGGGTGCAGGAGTGCCACGAATCGGGTGTTTGTGGCCAATAGTAATGGTGTGGTCAGCGAACTGTCCCAATAGTCCATTGTTCCGTTGCAACAGTTCATCATCTATACAAAAAGGGACAGACATTCACGCATTAATTTATATTAATACCGGTAGAAACTTATGAAGATATTTTAAGTTAACACATAATATGCATTACAATTTCGTGGGTTATGTGTTTTATTTTTGTTAAATTCAATGTTATTATTATCTATTATATTATATTTATAGAATATTTCATTGATTATACCGTACTTTCAATTTATAATTCAATGAGCCAAACTACAATCATTAAACAAATAACATGCGATCCCGTTTCCCAACAGACTTACCACTAATTTCATGGTAACCTTAGCGAATGCGAACCCAAATGTGAATATAAAAAGTATGGGACTGACATGAAAGTAGCCGATAGAATAGGATACGACCGCAAATGCAGTCAGTATAGCCACGGGAACTACAGGTTTCCATATGTTAGCTGTCCGGCGCTGTATGACTACACCCAACACATCCAATGGTGTCTTAGCGCCCAAAACCATAGTCACATTTCTGGTAATAGCTGCACACATGGATAGTATGGTCGCCAGAGCTAACACATGTGACAGCTCGATGCCGGTGCTCGACCACAGTGTCGTACGCCATAACCGTTGACCCCAGTAGGCGGTGGCCAAGTGGACGGCTATCATAAGCCACTGGCCTTCGCTCACATCGATTCTGAATACGGGTTAGAAATTAATAATTATTTTCATTATCTTTTGATTTGAAAGTTACAACTTATCATAAATCTATTTTAGAGTTACTAAACATAACATTAAGATTATGTACTAAATAACCAGAAATGATATATATTTTAAAATACTAAAAATAAACAAAATAGACGACAGAATATTCTAATAACTATAAAATATTTATAAAATACCTAAATATTTGTGACTTAAAGCAGTCTAATATACAGAATATTCTATACAATGAATGCAAAAAAGAAGAAATAAGACTCACTTCCCAAACGCCATCTGATGCGTGACGTGACATAACCAATGGGTCGAGAAGAATGCAATCATTGTCGAGAGGAACAGTAGGAACAGCATTATAGGTGAGCGACCCAACTGTACGGCACAAGCAGTGGCCAGTGTCACAAAAATGGTGGACACGGCGTCGCACCCGTGGTCATACACCTCCTCCATCTGCGTGTTCTGCACTTTATAACACTGTTTGCCATCCAATGCGTCCAAAGTCTGGTACAGGAGTACACCCACAGCGCACAGTATGAATGCCCACGAACTCACCTAACCGTCCAATCAATTAATCAATTATTATTAGAAGTGCTATCAAACTACTGTATATGAGAGTAAAAATAGGCGCCGATCGCACCCTTACCTCATTTCGAGCGTCGGGTGAGTAGTAGAGGACAGTGAGTGATGTGATTAAGTTTATGATAAGACCGGTGACAGTGATGGTGCACGGGCTCAGCCATATGGGGATGAATTGCGATAACCATATCCACAGTCTATTATTAATTCATACATTCATACAAATTATTGCTCATTTCATTATTTCTAATACAAATACAGTACATGAGAATCGGAGTTTTATAGTAGGCTTTAAAAAAAAGTCTATATCAATATCTATATTAAATGAGTCGCACATAAACACATAGAAATAAACAGAGTATTTATCATAGTTAAATATGTGATTAAATGAATATCGTTTTTGAAAAGACTAATATAAAACTGCGATTCTCATACCATTATATCGTAATACTGTATTATCTAAATTAGATGATTAAACAATAAATAATAAGCTAGAATCCAATAGCATAGTTAGGATAATAATTGTAAAATGAGTCATAAATATTGTACCACAGTAACTATAATTACTGGTATTATTGTGTACCTAATGTATCAAAAGGGTTGTGCAATTATTATACTGTTGTGTTATATATCAATAGTGTTAAAACCAACTAAATTGTAACAAAAAAACATATAAATCGTATACTTCTGTAAAAATAATAGCTCGAGATAAGAGCCGGCGCTGGCGTTGTACACATAGGGTCGGGTGGACAGGTAGCGCATGTGGGTGGGACTCAGTGCCCAACCGCCCAACACTTGCTTCAACCGCTTATTGTCATCGCACCGATTGATCTCCATTTCCATGGCCTCCACGCGTACCTTCTCCTTGAAATCGGTGAACTTTTTGTGAGCCGCGGCTGCCTTTCCCTTCAACACCCTTTCCATTTTGTCCAGATTGACCGTCAGATTCAGTGATGACTTGTCCACGTCGTACAGCTTATGATATTTGTCATCTGTACTACCGGTGCTCTCGGCAACAGACGACTGGCCACGATTACTCGGAAACATGACGAGTTTTATGGCTACTTATAGTAAGTAACGTCTATTTATAAATAATTTTAGATAATTATTGATTACAATATTTTTAATGTCTCCAAATTATTATACAATTAATTGGCAGATAAAAATATTTATATAAATAATCACGTAAACAAAAAATATTTCTCAAATCACTAGATAGTTGTGAAGAATGTGAAGAATTATGAAAAATAATTTTTTATATTAGAAACTAGTTTATAATTATTATACTGTTATTGAGTTGCTAAATATTATTATTAAATAACACAACACTTTATACAGTATACAAGTTTTGTCTCAAATAATACAGATGTTATGCATAAAAAAGTTTGCTTTACTTATTTATTAGTGATAATTATTTAACACACCAATTCAAATGAAATAAAAACTAAATTATTGTAAATCAAACAATTGACTATAACACTGCATATTAATAAATGTTTACTGAAATATGTTCTCTACTAATTCATGGAATATTAACTCACTTTATGATTGAGAGCAAATGTAAAACTCGTGTTAAGTAAACGAAAAGTAAGTTAAATATAATATAAGTTCAAAATATGTGACAATTATAAGTCTATGCTTCAATTCTGGTGGAAAATGACGACAACATATTCAATTATAAGTAATGTAGAGATCATATGCTTGAACTGTGCATATGATTCCCTATCGGTGTAACGCAATACTACCGGTGCTAATGGAAAATTCCAGTTCTCAATAACATATTATTGCCATACATAAGACTTTGCCCTCAATCAATACTGTAATACAATTTATGTTACCTTAATTATAATACAGAATACTGTTTTAAGATATCATCTCTAATTTAAGTTAATTGTAAATTATATAATGAATTATTCTGGTAATTTACTTTAATGAATTATTTTTATTATTTATAATTATTATACTTCATGAAGTGGTGTGATATAAGGGAGATATTAATAAGCTTCAAATGGATAAATATGAGAATCACATGGCATTCCGTAATATGGATTCCATAAACTTTTAAATAATATTACAGTATAATATGTTATTAAGTTAATATATTGAAAATTATCATCAGGGTTCTATCAAAATGTATTGTTTTAACTCTTAAAGTGTATTTTGTAAAACTTAAATAAAAGAAATAATAAATTTATTATTGAATAGTTGTTTACTTGTTAATTGAGATTTTTAGCCATTATTACACCACAGGATGTTATGATTCCTAATCCCAACAAAGTAAATGTATGTTACTGAGAGCACCTGTACTTAAGCACACTGTCATATAACAGTAATTTGAATGGTGGTGGTTGTGGTTGTGGAGGACTATATTGGGAATATTCCGAATGTCCCTGACGTCTGACGTAATGTAAAAACTTGTTTACATTATACTGTACGAATGCATATATGCATATATAGTATATATATTATATACAGATTATTTATAAGAAGCGTGAGTTTAAAATGTACGGCTCAGTCACATATTCTGACGTACAGTGCGTGTACGAGATAAACAGGGCAAAAATTGCTGACAATTTCATAAGGCTATATAAACTGGTGCTTCAATTGCATGAATGGTTAGTCATTCACTTTTGAGGAAAAGAATTTTTCTAAGTTTCAAAAACTGTATGAAAGAGTTTATACCAATGATTGGCTTATTGTCAATATTATACCAATGACTGATTCTGTGATAACTTATAATTGAATATGTTGTCGTCATTTTCCACCAGAATTGAAGCATAGACTTATAATTGTCACATATTTTGAACTTATATTATATTTAACTTACTTTTCGTTTACTTAACACGAGTTTTACATTTCCTCTCAATCATAAAGTGAGTTAATATTCCATGAATTAGTAGTGAAAATATTTCAGTAAAAATTTATTAATATGCAGTGTTATAGTCAATTGTTTGATTTACAATAATTTAGTTTTTATTTCATTTGAATTGGTGTGTGAAATAAATATCACTAATAAATAAGTAAAGCAAACTTTTTTATGCATAACATCTGTATTATTTGAGAGAAAACTTATGTATAAAGTGTTGTGTTATTTAATAATAATATTCAGCAACTCAATAACAGTATAATAAGTATAAACTAGTTTCTAATGTAAAAAATTATTTTTCATAATTCTTCACATTCTTCACAACTATCTAGTGATTTGAGAAATATTTTTTGTTTACGTGACTATTTATATAAAAAAAATTTCTGCCAATTAATTGTATAATAATTTGGAGACATTAAAAATATTGTAATCAATAATTATCTAAAATTATTTATAAATAGACGTTACTTACTATAAGTAGCCATAAAACTCGTAGTCATGTTTCCGAGTAATCGTGGCCAGTCATCTGTTGCCGAGAGCACCGGTAGTCCAGATGACAAATATCATAAGCTGTACGACGTGGACAAGTCATCACTGAATCTGACGGTCAATCTGGACAAAATGGAAAGGGTGTTGAAGGGAAAGGCAGCCGCGGCTCACAAAAAGTTCACTGATTTCAAGGAGAAGGTACGCGTGGAGGCCATGGAAATGGAGATCAATCGGTGCGATGACAATAAGCGGTTGAAGCAAGTGTTGGGCGGTTGGGCACTAAGTCCCGCCCACATGCGCTACCTGTCCACCCGACCCTATGTGTACAACGCCAGCGCCGGCTCTTATCTCGAGCTATTATTTTTACAGAAGTATACGATTTATATGTTTTTTTTGTTACAATTTAGTTGGTTTTAACACAATTCATATATAACACAACAGTATAATAATTGCACAACCCTTT